CCATCATCAGATCTTTACCAAATTTATATTAAGAAACCATCTCTGAGGAGCCCCCTTTCTAACAAAAAAATAATCAGAAATCGGACAACATAGTAAAGAATTGTCGCTGAATATCCATAAAAAAATATATTCCAATGAATTGAGAACCTACTTCATTTTTAAAGTCTGTTAAAAATAGAAAATACATTGGAAATATTACCACAGTAAATGGGGTTTGCACACATGATAAAAACTAAACATATTTTTAATTATGTACTTCTATTTGAAAAAATAATGTACAGTAGAAAGAAATATGCTTTTCTATGACAAACGGGAAGAGAAAATGTAAAGTAAGTACAAGAAAAAATAGGTTTAGTTTATATAAAAGGGACAAACTATATTTAAATACCCTTGCTTTAAACCACAAATCACAGATTTTTAATCGAGCACTACTAGAAGGGCAGTTAAATGAGTATTTTCCAGTGACTTACTGGAACCTTTTCTTCATTTAAGCCATTCTATTTATTTTAAGAAATTATATTCATGCGTAAAACATTTTTTCTCTGAACCGACTGTCCTTGCTTCTGTCTATTAAAAAATATGAGCCGATGTCTAAAAAAGATAGGGATAGTGTTAACATTTAACCATAGTCGTAAAGGTTGAGCCTCAATTTCATTTTTTCCTTTATTTGTAATTAATTTTCGAAAAAATATTACCAAATTAACTTCATTATTTTAAAAATCTCCCGTGATCAGCTGTGAAGCGACAGACTGTCAGTTGGAAAAGCGCCGTTGCCAGTTTTAATCTCAGTTAGTTATTTGTTCTTTAGCTAACGAGAGATTTTAACAATCGTTCTTGCAACCGGCTGTAGGACTTACAGAGAACAATACATCCAGCTCATCCAAAGTTTCTAGTAAATACATTAATAGTTGTGTTTGGAATACGAAGCAGCGATGTAAGTCCTTACTGACCACAACAATGTCGACACTTAATAAAAACCATGTAATCCCAGTACTATGGAAGAGGTAGTGACTATCGTGGTAAAAATACTGGCTTCAGATATTCAGACAGACCTCGTTGGACAGATAAGAAGAGCAAGTAGCAAGAAAACCTCTGACACATTAAAATCGTCAAAGATTTAGGACCGTCAGTAAAAAAATCCTGCTTTGTGGAAAATCCGAGATTGGAAATTTATCAATCGTTGTCCTACTTAGCGAGAAGTTTCTTTGTTTTAAGCGATATTAAAGTCACACTGGACACAGTAAAATTTTTTGATTGTAATGAATGACCTTCTTAAAAGACCGATGGAACAGAAAACAAAAGCAACTCATAGTTCGTACCACAGATATTAAATGGTGAAACCTCTGTAGGAGATCATAGCGTAAAGAAAACATTGCAAAAGGTACATGAGAGAATCTACTGGGTAAATTATTTGGACGACGTCAGAAATTTGTGCCGAAAAATGTATTACTTTAGCAAAAATCCCAATCGTAAACGTATAGCTGATAAATTGCAGTATATTGTAGGAAGCCCATTTTAAAGAATTAACGTATATATTCTGTGCTCTATACTGCAGAGCAACACGTGAAATAAATACATATTCGTTATCATGGACCATTTCTCTAAATGCACCAGTACCTATGTGATGTGATGCATCCTCTACCTATGTTCTATGGCGTTTACATTTAGTAAACTATTTTACAGCTATTGCATATTATGAAGGTGAAGACTCACCATCTTCGTCTATTATTTAGTATTTAGGCCTTTAAAAAGGAATGTTTTAACGCCGCATGAAATTATTTTTTATTCATAATTAAGAAAATTCACAAATTGTTCATTTAGATCGATAGTAACGGCATAAATTTATATACAATCTGGAAATTTTACAGCAGTTTTACAAACAATAGTTCTTTAATCTTGTGTTTCATTCTAGAAACATTAACACACTAGGATAGATATCCTAGTGTGTTAAAATTACAGATTTTTTTCTGCTTTACTACTACTAAAACCAACTAGGAATTCATTTTGAAAAAATTAGTGGCTTTCTAGAATAGAGTTAGAGTATACAAAAAGTTTGAAGAGATCTGCTTTAATTACTTAAATGACATTTTTTTTAACTAAGTTAGTGGCATTGGATATAAACCAACAGGCCAGTCAATTGTCAGGTGAACAAATAAAAATATCTATAGCTACCTTTGGATTTTTCACATTCTGAGTCTGCCATTTTAGGCTTATTTTAGGCTAATTTTATACCAATATAAAAAAATTCCGCTTCTTTCTTGAACAGAAAAATTAAATGCTATTGATATCAAGCTAGCAGAGCTCCTTTCGATTTTTTAAATTTTGATTACGTCATAATTTTAGGCAAATTTCAGGCTAATTTTAGGCATATTTTATACCAACCAAAAAAAAATTTCTCTTATCTTTATAGAAAAACTTAGGTACTCTGTTGGCTTAACAACAGACACTTATTGCGTTTTTCATTAAAAAATTCAGCAATGTAAAAAATGATAATGGCATAATTTTAGGCTCATTTTAGGCTAATTCTATACCGACAAAAAATTTCCACTTTGGCCTTTATCAAAAACATTGGGTGCTATGCTAGCTTGAAAATACGACTTTATAGTGTTTTCCGCTAATAAAATTGAGAAAAATAAAAAATAGACACGGCATATTTTTAAGTCTTATTTTAGGCTAATTTAATAACAACATAAAAAAAATTCCGCTCTTGCTTTTGTTCGAAAGATCAGCTACTCTGGCTAACTTTACAATACGACTTTGAAGAGTTTTTCTTTAAAAAATTGAAACTTTCCTTAATTTTATTTAAGGAAAACACTATAAAGTCGTATTGTTAAGCTAAAGCACCTAATTTTTCGGATGAAGGTCAGACTGGAAATGTTTTTATGTTGGTAAAGAAGTAGCTTAAAATGAGACTCAAATTTTGCCGTTTTCATTTTTTAGGTAACTAAATTTTTTAATGGAAACCGCAATACGTGCCTGTTGTTAAGCCAAATTTTTCTATAAAGAAAGGATCAGAAATTTTTTTAGGTTGGTATAAAATTAGACCAAAAATTAGCATAAAAGTATGACGTAATAAAATTTTGAAAAATCTAAAGCTGCTCTGCTAGCTTGATATCAGAGCACTTCATATTTCCTATAAAGAAAGAAGCGGAAAATTTTTAATGTTGGTACAAAATTAGCCTAAGATGACCATTTTTTGAGTCACTTTAATTTTTTAACAAAAAGCTCTATAAAGTCGTATTGTTAGGCTAGAGCAGCTAATTTTTCCGATAAAGTTCAGAGAGGAATTTTTTTATGTTGGCATAGAATTAGCCTAAAATGAGCCTAAAATTATGACGTTATAACTTTTGATATTGTTAATTTTTTTAACGAAAAAAGCAATAAGTGCCTGTTGTTAAGCCAGCAGAGTAACTCATTTTTTCTATAAAGGATGGAGTGAAAAAATTTTTAGTTTGGTATGAAATTATGAGGTAATAAATATATTAAAAATCCAAAGGTGCCCTGCTAGCTTGATATCAAGTTCTCAGAGGACTTATAATTCCTCTAAAGAAAGAATCAGAAAAATTTTTATATTTGTAAAAAATTAGCCTAAAATGAGCCTAAAATTACGTATCTATTTTTGAGTTGTTTCAATTTTTTAACGAAAATATAAAGCTGTATTGTCAGCCTAGAACACCTTATTTTTTTGATAAAGGCCAGAATGGAAATTTTTAATGTTCGTGTACAATTGCCCTAAAATGAACCTTAAATAAGCCTAAAATGAGCCTAAAATTATGCCGTTATTATTTTTTACATTGCTAATTTTTTTAATAAAAAAAGCAGTAAATGCCTGTTGTTAAGCCAACAAATTACGTAATTTTTTTGTATAAAGGAGCATACATTTTTCAAAATTTGGTATAAAATTAGCCTAAAATTACGACGTAATCAAAATTTTAAAAATCCAAAGATGATCATTAAATATTTTCTATAAAGAAACAAAAAAAATTTATGTTGATATAGAATTAGCCTAAAATGAGCCTAAAATTATGTCATGTCTAATTTTTGGTTTTCTCAATTTTATTAACGGAAACACTATATAGTCGTATTATTAAGCTAGCAAAGCTCCTAATTTTTTCGATAAAGGCCAGAGTGGAATATTTTTATGTTGATATAAAATTATGGCGTTATACTTATTTACATTGCTGAATTTTTTAATGAAAAACGCAATAAATACCTGTTGTTTAGCCAGCAGAGTACCTAATTTTTCCTGTAAAGAAAGGACTGGAAAATTTTGTATGTTAGTATAGAATTAAGCCTAAAATGAGCCTAAAATTATGACATGCTCAGAATGTGAAAAATCCAAAGGTGCTCTGCTAGCTTGATAAAATATCATATAACAAACTTTATTATTTTTCAAACTACATTAAAGTTGCTTTACCTTACTAAAATATCCTATACTTATTATGGTTTAAATGTTTATTTTTTATTTTCCTTTTTTGTTTTTTTATTTGTTTTTTCAATTGTTTTTTTAATTGTTTTTTATTTGTTTTTTTTTGTTTTTTATGTTTTTTTTATTTGTTTTTTCTTTTCGTTTTTTTTGCTTATTGTTTCTTCCTCTTTCCTCTTTATTTTTTTTTTATTGCTATTTACATGTTTTATTTCTATTTCCTAACTAAAATTATAAATTAAACGAAATGTTCGAGTATATTATATATGCTGTCAAATGCCAGTAGATTTTTTAAATTTATAGGTAATTGAATTTTGTTGTTTTGGTATAATAAATAATTTATAAATCATTTAGAATACAATTTAAAAATATATGTTGTAAATATCGTCACAAATACACAAATCATTATCTAATAGACATTATAAAAATTGTTTTATTAAAATATCTGTTAAATTTTTCTCTGCAAGAATCGATATTTTTATAAATTATTCCTTTAAAGTATCGAAGTGTATTCATGCGATATATAAAAGAGATAAGTTGCCCAAAATCTACGCTAAAAAAAATTACAACTCACTGGCCTCCATTAAGGTAAAAGACTTTTTCCGATTTATCACTGACTGCGATCGTGTTCATAGAAGGCGCGAGCTCCTCGATACGCACGTTCCTGCTACCTTGAGGAATCAGAGCCACTTTCTTGTAATCTAAAACAGAGATCCTGCTGAGTTCAGCGCGCATCATGCATAAAAATAAATAACAAAGAGGTTGAGAAACAAAAATAAAACGGATATAATATATTTACGCCAGTGGCACATCTATTAAGAAACTTACTGGTAAAATAACCATATTATACAGGGTGGGGTTACTTAAAATATATTTCACTTATTTAAAATAAAAATTTCTTATTTATTAAATTTAATGAGAGCTAAAAAAATTCGAATTTCATTTTAAAAATAGGTAATCTCTCAAAATAATGTCCAAATAAATAAAATAAGTATACTTAAGGAGGTCCTTTCGCCACCCCTTTCGCCACCAATGTTAAATAAAAAATATTAGATTATGACTAAAATTTATTTTTTTTCTAATAGTTGAAGTCCTTATTTATCTAATAGTGAACTTTTAACTATACCTTAACGTGCAAATTTTTGAGAATTTTTTTTTTTAAAAATGTGAGTATTTGTACAGTGTCTTACGAGAAAGTAAGACCTCAACAACAATTCTCGAATTTTACTATTATTTATTGATTAGATGGAGCAGAAAAAAACTAAAAATAAGGTTTTTGAAATATTTAGGTTTTGTTTTTTACAATAAAATATATAGGTTACCGTGGAATTTATTGAGAAATTAATATTATATAAAAAAAAAATCAAGTAACCTAGTTGAAATTTTTTTGTGATTTTTAAATATTAATTTCTCAATAAATTCCACGGTAACCTATATATTTTATTGTAAAAAACAAAACCTAAATATTTCAAAAACCTTATTTTTAGTTTTTTTCTACTCCGTCTAATCAATAAATAATGGTATACTTAATTATAATTCAAAAATTGTTGTTGAAGTCTTACTTCTCGTAAGACACTGTACAAATACTCACATTTTTAAATTTTTTTTTCTCAAAAATTTGCACGGTAAGGTATAGTTAAAAGTTCACTATTAGATAAATAAGGACTTCCACTATTAAAAAAAAATTAATTTTAGTCATAATCTAATATTTTTTATTTAACATTGGTGGCGAAAGGACCTCCTTAATTAATTAATGTATCAGAAGTGATGATTTTGACGACCGAGAGACAAAAACACAATTAGGCATTCCAAACAAAATAGTTGCCAGTAGGTAATGAGAGGCCACTGACAGGCACATAATAGGTCATGGCTTTTGCATTAAACAAATTGATGATTTTAAAAATAAAATGAATAAAAAACGAGATCAGTTTAACACTTTTGGAATAAGACTCAAAATATTGGCTTAAAACCTGAGAGAAATTGATAATGTCGGTGACAGAGAGACCTCCTATCGTTGATTATACGCCGAAATTTTTGATATTTTACAACAAATGAACTTTAACGAATTAAAATTTGTTGAATTGTTCAATTTTAATATTAGTAACTACGATTCATCAAAATTTCCATCGGAAGCTTTTAATTCACTAAAATTAAATTATGGAAATTTTTTGGATATTCTAGCATTAAAGTCCCAATTAAGTGTTGTTTATAAAATAACTGAAATTAGTAATAAAAAGAAGCCCATCAGTGTGTTAAATTTTCTTATAACAACTGGTTTAAATAAGTCCCTTTGTGAAGTCGTCAAGTTGTGTGAATTTTGTACTAACCATCCCAGCCACAAGTGCGTCAGTTGAGCGAAGTTTTTCAGCATTAAAGCGCATTAAACGTTTTATACGAAATTCAACAAGTGAAGACAGACTCTCTAATTTAGCCCCAATATCCATTGAAAAACAGCTTGTTAAACAGTTATCAGAAAATCCAAAATTTTACGACGATATTATAGACAAATTTGCAGCCATTGAGGATAGGCGAATAGATCTTAAGTAAAAATAAATGTTAACTGCTGTGTCAACTGTGCGAAAAATGCTGGAAAAAAATAAAAAAAACTTCAAGTAAATGATTTTTTTACGTTTAAATAAACCAAAGAAGCTTTTCAATGGTAATTTTTTTTATAGCTTCTAGTACTAAACTAGGTAATATCCGTAGTACTGAGGAAAAAAAGCAAGATTTTGACAAAATGATGAATGCGCCGCGAAAAATTTTCGCTATGCTTACTGGCCTGCTGTATTTTTATACAATCGCTTACCCTTCCAAAAATGTCACCGCACGCCACTGGTCTCTTATTGTGCCAGTTAATAGTTATATTAATAGTAAATTCGACGTTGACAACCCTTTACTAATAAAGACAGCTTTTTATGAAGAATTAAATACAAAATGAAAACATTATGAAACACTTTACACTGATGGTTCTAAATTAAATAATCAAGTAGGTTACGCTTTATATTATCGCAATAAGGAGATCCAAATTTTAAAACGTTTGCCAAATTGTATGTCAGTTTATAGTGCAGAAATATTAGCAATTAAAGAAGCTTTTTCGTTATGTTTAAATCAAGAGGAATTAAATTTTGTCATTTTCACAGACTACAGAAGTTTAGTTCAAAAGTTTCAAAATTTTAATTTTAATTCAAAAGTTAATTGTATAATTTTGGACTTTTGAAAACTAAATTTTGAGGCAAGAGATCAGGATAAACGAATATACATGTCTTGGATCAAAGCCCTTATAGGAATACCTAATAATGAAAAAGTAGACTTTTTGGCTAAAACTGCAACAAAACTTAATTACATAAGTAATTTTAAAATACCCCTATTGATCTAATACTTGTTACAGACATAAAAAGGATCAAAATTAGCAAGCAAAATATGTAGAGAAGGAAACAGGTAATTTTTATAAATTTATTCAACCTAATATAAGGGTAAAACCGTGGTTTGATAAGCTGTCAAATAGACCACTAATACAAACGATTATCATAATTAAAATTAATCATGCTTTATACCCTCATTATATGAAGCGAATAGGTATATTAGATGATTTATGTATTTGTGATGAGATTACTGATTTACAACATATATCTTTGAATAAAAAGTAATGTATGGAATACGAACGAAAACTGTTTTTTCGAACTCCTTTTCGTAGTTGCCCGAAAAACTCAAGTTTTCGTCCTTGTAACAAAAACTATGTTTTTCTTAAATGTTTCATTTATATTGGTTTTCTATATTATTTCTATGTTGGTAATACATGTTTATATTAAATTCATGCAAATACCTTCATTTTACCATGTACACAAGCACAGGACCAAGCATTGATTCTTGGGGTATACCAGACTTAATTTTTTCAGTGTACTCAAAGAATCTCCTATACTTACAGTTTTATATATTTTTAGTATCACTTTTTCTATTTGGTTTTATAAACTTCATTTTCTGTATTCTCAAATCGTTCCTCGTCTCGACATATGACACGGGGTATCTTTATTTACAGTTTAAACCCATTTCTATAATCTCCAGGGACAGGCCTAACATATGAAACAGAAATCGTGACAACCCACCACGCCATGATGTCATTGACAGCGAAAAGAATTTTGCAGTCGAAGAAGAGTAGAGAAAAAAAAAGGGAAATAATTGGGGCCATTGACGTCCATCGGAAGCGATTCCTGACAAGAATGGCTGTTATTTATTTCTCTCAGGTCGATATTAGGCCAAAGTGAGGGGTCATCATCGAGGTCAAGGAGATATTTTAGGGTATTGGGTCCTGTCAGGATACATTAGGTATAAGTAATAATGTCATCTGTCGGTTTTCTAATAGTTCCAACAATCTGGCCTACCCTTATAATAACATTTGGTGCTGGCAAGCTGTCTTTTGGGCCCGCTTTCTTTTCATTAACTTCATTGTTAGCGTGAGATTTGCAGTTTTTTCTCTAATAGTTTATTACTTTAATCCCAACATTTTCTGGCATATAATCGAGGGTTATCAAAATTTATTAGTAATTTATAAATAATTTGACCATTTTAATATTTTATTATAAATTTGCAAGTATTTCAAACAAGGATGATCAAATAGCTACTAGACATATTTTGTTTACATAAAGCAAATTGCAAGAATATTATTTATTATATAGGGCAGGCAATAAAAATTATACAGTTTCCGAAATATTGGAAAACATCGATTTTGAATTTGACTTGATTTAACTTGAACACCATGTAACTTTTTTGTTTGTACTTTTGTACATAGGTAAGAAGGTTCAATCGACTTATTTTTGACACCATATAATATAATGTATAACCAATCTTTTCGGGATACCCTGTATACTAGTTTATAAATAAAACAGTTATATAAAAAAATACTAACAGTTTATATTTTTTTGCCGACATAAATAATAAATTCATCTGATAATTTTGTGCAATGCCACGTAAATATACTAATATATTTTGCTAATTTTCAACCAAATTTTTGATTCCTCTATTCGCATGAATATTAGGGTGATTCATTTCCGCAAAGTTTTTTTTCTGTGCTCAAGCAAAATATTAATCTACATATAGAAAAAAAATTCTGATCTCTTAGTATCAATTTTAAGTACCTTACTATTTAAATTTAAAGTTTTAGCATTTAAAATGCATGTAAAATTTTTTATTTTTTAAGAGTCGTCAAAGTACAGTTCTTCAAAAAAATTTTTTTTTTCAATTTTTTCGAGCAAACCGCCAAAAGTAGGAAGAAAAAAAGGACCGACTCATAAAAAAAAGTTATCCGACCAATATATAATGAATTTGCAGCCATTTTTATTCCTGAAAACATAAGAAATTGATAAATACTAACTCCTAATGTTATTTAGATTAATTTTTTCTATTGATTACCATTATATTTCCCTGCACTAAGATCTTTTTTAGAATTATTAGGATTTCTCACTCATAATGACAATAATTTCGAAGAGCGTGAAATTTCCCACAAGGTCCATCAAACCGATTTGCAATATTGTAAAAGGTGGGTCAGCATTAAAAATTAAAAAAAAAAAAAAAATTTTTTATATGTATTTTAAATGGTAAAACTTGAAATTTAAATAGTAAGCACTTAAAATTGATATTAACAGCTCAAACTTGGTGAGAATTTTTTTTTCTATATGTAGATTAATGTTTTGCTTGAGCACCGAAAAAAATTGTTTCGTAAATGAATCACCTTAGGTTCCTCAAACTGGTGATCAGCTTCCAAATCGTGGGTTGGCTCGTCGTATTATACACAAAACGGTTATAACCCGACCAAATTTCTGTAGAAAACATTGCAAGTCATCTTCCATTGCTACGACGATTTAGACGTCCTACATAATTGTCCTCGTATCATTGAAGCAGTTATATTCTTAGTCTTAATGATAATAACTGTTAGTGGTTCAAGCATATCGAGGGCGTCATATCAGAAGGGCGTATGAACCAACAGGTGTATGAACACACGCCTTTCTGATATTATAATTATGCAAAATTGGTTTATACGCCAAAGTAAAACTACTCAGAATAAGATGTTAATATTTATGAAACCATACGACCTCCTGATATATCAAGGAAATTGATTAAATAAACCCATATGGAAATCATAAAAACAACAATGCTCTTACGGCATTCTGATATGGTGCAGCCCTCGATATTATATTAAATAAAAAAAAAAACATTGAAGCAGAGGTTTCACTTCGGGAGGCAACATATTTGACAACTCATTAATTGCTCCATCTAAATCTTCAATGGGCACAAACGCCAGAGAAGTTATCAAAAGACCTTGCAATGCAAAATTATTGGTATTTTCATTCTGTTGTGATTTACTATTCATTATTGACAATAAATAAAAATATTTACGGAAAAGTAATAATAAAAATACTAAAATGGTTATTTTTGCGTGGTACAGAGACAGTATGAAGTGAGAAGACATTATAACATTGTCCAGATTACTTTTTTTTTTTAAAAGTAGCATTTACCTAAGAAAATCACATAAAAATAAAAAATAACGTAGGTTTTAAGAATTTAAAAAAAATATTATTAATTATATTACTACGGTTAAAGTTATATTCATTGCTTTATCTCGAAACTTTTTCCCCTATACTCTTCATTTATTATTAAGGAATATTAAATTTCACGTCTAAATGGCCGGCGCCCGAACGGCCGCGCTTTACCGTCCCTGAGCTCAATTGTCCCCGCGCCCGAACGACAGAGTCCAAGTATCCCTGCGCCCAAACAGCCATGCCCGAATTACGGCGCCCGGTTGTCCGATTCCTTATCGTTCTCATATGTGATGAAATTGAAAAATAAAACCAAATTAGCTGTAATGATGGGAATCGAAACAATCAATATGGATCGTTCGGAGATGATGGGGACCTTCTCTCTGTATCTGTAACGTGTGAAGAGTGGGTTACCCCGACGGCCCTTATGCCTCACTAGGCTCATTGTGCATCCTCCTAAGATGATAGGCACCTCCTAGCTCGTAAGTCAGCCTACAGATATAATGTAGTTGACAACGTCGCCAAGAGGTGCTTCTCTTATATCGGCTGGTGTTAGCCGATACTCGTCGAACACAAATCTCCTAATAAATCAGAGCGTCGAGCAATCGTAGAGGACATACTCGATAGTCTCATCTTCTTGTTCGCAGCCTCTGCAGAGTGCGGATTCTGAGAGCCCCATGATATGGAGATGCTTCCGTACTTGGCAATGACCAGTCAGAATGCCTCGGACTAGGCGCAGATTCTGTCTAGTCATATTCAAGTATTTATTTGCTGCAGTATTGTCAGAACAACTTAAAAGCTCTCTGGCAACTCTGCAGCTTCTTGTTTCATCTTATCTATCCTTGAATTTTACAAGGGAATGTTCTTTAATAATGTCTGTCACTACCGATTATGTCAGGCCAATAGAAGGGCCAGGTCCAAAAGGTACTTGGTTGGCTGCCTTCTTGGCCAGTGAATCAGCAAGGCGGTTACCCTTTGATGAGGCGTAATCTTTGATCCATTTTAAAGTGACCACGTTGTTGATGGATACTTCGGCAAAAACTTCATAACATTCTAGTACTAACTCTGAATAAATTTGTGGTCTGTTCAGGGTGAGTAGTGCTTGTCTGCTATCTATATAGACGCACATGTTCCTTCCAGTGATATTGTTTCTAATGATTTCTTTTGCTGCTATGAGAATCCCCGTGAGCTCTGTTTGAACTACACTGGCACTATTGCTCACAGCCCATTTTATGTTAAGGTTTAAGGATCTGGAGTATATTTCACATCCTGAGCCTTGGTTTGTTTTAGAACCGCCGGTGTAGATATGAATCATACCTACCACTTACAACTTCATATGGCTTATGGAAGATATATCTCGGTGAGATGGAGTCCATGTTCGCATGAAGCAGTGGGAGCGTATCGAGTGTCTCCTGCCAAAAGCCACGTCTCGCCTCACCAGATCCTACATCAGATTCTATACCAACCGTGCGGAGGCATATCATTGTCGTCAGAGCAATCTCCTTGATGTAAATATTAAGGCGCGTGAGACTAGAATGACTTCTATGGCCCTGGTCGGTGTTGTTTTCATAGCTCCTCTTATGTTGAGATATGCTGTTCTTTGAATTTGTTTTAGTTTACGAATAGCTGTTTTCGATACCCAGACAACTGCTCCACGGTTCGGCCGCATTGTTCATAAGCAATGTATGCTCTTTTGCTCTAAATGTGAGTTCCATATTAATATCTTGTTTAATAATCTATTTTCTTACAGTTAGTGTATGTTTTTTAAAAATTAAAAAAATAAACTAGTAAATATTCGTGCTTTTTTGGCTAATAAAGTGGTTTAAATAACATTATTCATTTATCGTAGGCATACAGGTACCTTAGTTTACTTAACTGTTTACCAATAACTATTAAAATGCGTCATTTTAAGAAACTTTTTAACTTATGACGCATTTATAAATATACTTTTACTTATGGCCATTGATTTTGTTTATTATAAAAGTTAAAAAATAAGTATGACAATCTTTTTTTTTTTTTTCAAATAAATAATTCATTTGGAAAGCTTTTCCGTGTATCAGTCTACAATACCATTATAGCACAAGTGTTAATATTAGTATTAGCTTTATAACAATCAATTCGTAATAGTTTTTACATAAAAACTTTAAACGCTCTTACTCAAATTATAGAATTTTAAGACTGGCATTTTTAGAACCAAGCCATAGAATTAATTGGTCTAGAAAATGTTCGTCGTTGCTGTAGAATGACAAAGTTTTTATTAATGTCAGTTCGAGGAAATAGTATACCACATACCAAGCGGGGAAAAACTCTATTACAGCCGAGCAACTAGATAAATTACCGAGGTAAGCTACAAACGCGAGGCTAGAGTGGCTTCCACCGAAGTATGTAATACGATTTTACTCATAATCTGCTATTAATAATTTTATATAGATTTAAAACAATATTTCTGGTACTAATTCTATCATAATTTGATTTTTTTAACAGGAATATCTGTGAAACCGTTTCTAGGCAATATAACAAGTAAGTTTAATCTGACAGTTAGATATAGCAGGGGCAGAAGTTGGAAAGGCTTTTGGTAGGCAAAGACGGGGTAAACGTCAAAACACGTCGGACGGCTTCGAGAATTTCGCAGTAATGTTTACCTGCCAGTGCCGTTTCATATAATAAGTAATTATAGATTGTTACCGGTGGAACCGGACAATCGCATGTATTTATGGACTATAAATAATTATTTAACATGTATTATAATATACAAATTACAATTCATTAAAATTTCAACAGCTATTCACAATTTATTAAATTATTTACTCGAAATTGTTATTAAAATTTAAGAAATAATTTTATACGCCAATATATCGCATCCAGTTTGGTTAGATCCGCCGAAAACCTGTCAATTTATGTGTATAAGGTGGGAGAACTGGCAAAAGCCTTTACAACTTCTACTCCTGTTATAATTAGTATACTTAATACATATTAAAAGTAACTTTTAATATTAAAATTGTTTTTCTGCGCCTATGTCAGTAAACGTTAAAAATCGCACTATCAACATTCCGTTTTAAGTGGGCGTAGAAAAAGTATAGTACGTTACACTAGTTGTAAGCCCATTATGCACTCGTGAAATTTACGCACGCTGCGCGGCTTTGTGCGTAAACTATTTCACTTCGTGCGTAATAGGGTACTTACAACTCTTGTTACGTAATATACTATTTTATGGACGACCGAGCAATAAAGTCCAGATTAAGTGCATCTTTATCGCCCGCGGACTATAAATATATTCCATTTTCATCATTTAGCTATACTTATGTTATTCTTTATATTTAAAAAATAACGTCATTAAAACTAATGGCTTTTTGTGTAGCGATAATACTTTTTCTTACCCTATAAGCTGATTTCTTTTCACTATATTTTAGACACTTTCAACACATGGCTCGCCAAAGTAATCAAAGTGGACGTAACTAACTCATCGAAAATCAAACAGAAACGAGCTCCCAAACGGAACCTTGTCTATATACAACATACATTTTTGATGATACAATTTACTGCGAGAAACGTTAAAGGTACACCACTGGCGCAAACAATATCGAAACGAGAGCAAAACATCCGACGGTACATTATTACCATGAGCGCCGGTATCTTTGTATACTTCGTCTACAATTTTACACTGAGTCCCGTCGCCGTTGCAAATACCACATACGTCTTCGACCGCATCTGAATCCAGTTGGAAATCACACCCAACGTTCTGAAACAAAAAAAAAGAGGAAGAAGAGCTGCATAAAGAAATGAATAAATTCATAAGAAATAACCGGTGATGGTATAATTAGAGAGAATAAGTAGGTACTGGGTGGACATGGATTTTTCTGACGTAAAAGCACCTCATGTCTCATGTTTCATGGGTTACGTGTGTAATAACAATTTAAGAAACTTTTCACTAGATCAGACTTTTTTGGCTACAGTACTCAGTTTTAAAAGTTGACGTTTACAAACAAGCCATGGACACAATGGCAGATTTAAAGCCTTTCTAAATAAAGGAAAGAAGCATTATATATAAATGGATTTAACGTCATCGTCTCCAAAATTGCCATACCGATTATTTTTCAAATAGTTACAAATGTCTTAAAATTTATTATCTATACTCTTGGACCTTTGAAAAAATTACCACATTTACAACTTACCTAAGATCTACTATAATAGAAGATTATTATGTGTGTTCATCAAAATATAGAATTAGATCTAGATGTAATCATAAATCGATTTTCAAATAAAAAGACAATTATGAAAAAGAAAACACAAAATTCGTACCAGACAATAATATTTTATTGAAAAAATGTAGGTAACTGGTTTCGGCTTTAAAAGCCATCAGGGGGCTATTCCATAAAAATGACAAATATTATTCGTAAATAATATTAGACACATAAATTATTAGTTTGCTGATTTCTGTTTCACAGATTATTTTAATTTGCACATATGTAATAATTGGCTTTATTATTTGAAAACATAAAGAATTTACTTTAAATTCTAAAAAAGTACTTTTAATGTTCTAAATTAAAAATCCAAAAGGAACACTCTAGTCAATGGCTTACATTGAACTAGGGAATTAAAGGTAGAACGTGGGCATTCTAACAAGTACAACTATTACGTAAATTTTGGCACAAACAACTATATTATAGTAGGGGAGCCCAAACGGGGATTTTGGGATTTTTTCAAGCGCGGCCGAATAACATATGGGGGAAACCTTGCACCCTGTAAAGTACCCCCACCATACATGAACCCCTTATATAGAGTCGTGCGTTTAGGGCAGCCGATCAGATTAGTAAGAAAAATCGAATGTTAGAAAAACTCGAGCGCGTCAGATTAAGGCACTTTTTCTCTATGTCTCACTCTCTTGCACCGTCCCCTTACTCAAGGATACTTAACTTCTCCATTAGGATTGGCCAACTCCATATAGTATGTACGTTTCACTGTATTACGTCATTGCCAGACCAGATATTTGTAAATTCCTGTATTGTTTATACATTTGTACATGGTTTTTAGTATTTTTTGGATTGTTTCTCTAACTTTTGAATAGACTGGACTTTTTTAAAGTGTTTTTATAAAAAGTATTTTGGTAACCAACGTAGTTTTACTATAGGTCAGTTCTACAGTGGCAAAAATGATTGTTTTTAACTAATTATTGTAGTTATTTTTTTAGGGTTTGAGTTAGAGTTTTGTTTATATATTTATTTTTGTATTCAAATATTTTGACTTGTCCTGTACATAAAGTATTAATAAAAAAATATTGTTTTTAATTTGTGATATTTGTAGTTTTCGTATATATGTAGGTATTTCATTGGAAATTTAATGGAAAAATAAAACTGAAAAAATAAAAATGTTTCAAATCCTCAGATTAAGGAAATTATTCCGCATAGTTGTCAGATTATAGGTCAATACGACAAGGACATCAAGCTAAATCGTCTGTATATTAATCTGACGCACTCAAGTATTTAAATGTCACGATTTTTTTTGCATTTTCAAAAATCAACCATGACTTTCGGTCGCGTCCAAATCGTCAGTCTTTTGAATAGAAGCTCCTTTGGTGTTTACTTAATACCCTTCTGAATATCTGACCCGCTCGAATAAAATGCAAACCGGCAGATTAATATTCTTCCGTTATCCGAAACATGTGCGTGCACTAGTATTATCTGAACCGCTTAAGCATTTTTTTGTGTCTATTTTTTTATATTTTTAAAAATATGTACACGCTCCCCCCTACCAGCGAAAGGGCATACATCATATAAACTCTTTTTCTTTCTAGCATCTAATCCAAAAGTTCCCAACGACGCTCGAGTAAATCCCCATTTACCCTCTTGGGCTCCCCTACTATAGGGTAGTAATAATTAGTTTTTCTCTTACAATTTTTCTTTAAACTTGAATATGAGTTATTATACATTTGGATTAATAATTTTGGATTTTTAGTTTTAAATATTACTATTTACTATTAAAATTTGTAACTTGTAATAATACCGAATAAATAACTTCTCAGTAGATACCTGAATTATTTCTACAAATTATAGAAAGTGTTTTAAACAACAACAATTCAATTTTTAACAAAACAACAAAAAATTGTAACAAAATATATTCTTATAAACTCATACATTTTGCGGTTTTTTCCATGTGCGCTTTTATACCTGAATGTAATTAATACAAATCGTCAACGATCATAATAATAATAATAATAATAATAATAATAATAATAATAAAAATAATAATAATAAAAAAAAACAAATTTATCAAAAATCAAAATAGAATAATTGCAAAACTAATTCAAATCATAAACCAATTCTTTTTATCAATAAGAATTTAGAAAAAAAAGTTTGCTGCTATCATCAGATCTTGACCAAATGTATATAAGACCACCCCTTAAAGAAAAGAATCATAGAAATCGGACAACGTAGTGAATAATTATCGCTGAAAATACATAAAAAAATATTCCGAAGACCTGAGAATACAAAATAATTGATTTTTACGAAAAAAACGAAACAAATATTTATTCGAAAAATATTCAAAAAAATTATTGAAAAAAAAGCAACTTTTTTTTGTTTCTGGTTTTTTTTTGTTTTTTTGTTTTTTTGTTTTTTTTTTTTTTTAGTTTATTGACTTTTGCATAAGTTTTTACATTTTTCTAGGAGATTTTATTTTCCTTATGCCCTGCCATAGGAGTTATCTTCCTTTTTTTGCGCTTTGTTCCATGTGCGATTTTATACCCGGGAGGTTTTTTTTGTATTCGGTTCTGTCCATGTGCGCATCTTTCCACGTGTGGTTATTTCTCATGCGCTTATATGACTGTGCGATTTTTCTCTGCGAATATTTCCTGTGCGCTCATTTCTTTGCGCTTTTTTCCGGCCACCATAGAAAGAATATGGTAACTACCTTCCTATTAAAAAAAAAATCGCCATACATTACCGTCTCGATGATGGTGGGTGAGGTTTTTCCGAGTTTTCCTCACCTGTAAGTCAAATGGCATCATCAATCATCTTTAAGTCGCCCAGGAGCGCCACGGCAAATAATAATAATAGCCGTCCCTTTCCCCGCACAAGCTTAGCTTTTGGGGTTAAAATTCACTCATAAGGGGGTGAATTAGGGAGAGTATTATTATTAAAAAAGCTTACTATTATATTAGTTCATAATTAAGTTATTTTTAGAGCTCATAAATTTTGACGCACTGACTTGTACTTACCATACATTTTCCACTTATACACAAATTTTTGGTTCCAGCCTTACATGGTGTTCCATCCTTTACCCTAGGTTGCAACTTTGCAAATGTATTCAATTCATTTTTACAATATAATACACACGGTTCACCTTAAAAGAAAATAGTTTCTATAGAATAAACTTACTATTCGTTACTAAAATAATAATATACAACAAACCTTTTTTGTAGTATGGCCTCCATTTATGCAGTTTGCCGTTAAATGGTTTGGAGTTTTGTTCAGTGCACTGTTGATCTCGAAATGTGGGTTCATCTAAAGGACAAGGCTAAAAGAGAACGTATAGCTGTTATCACATTAAAATTATTGTATTTATTTAAAAATAGGTTAAAAAAATAATATATTAGAATATTAAAATTAGGTGAATTTAATAACACAAGACTTTCTGTGTCTTAGATAGGTAATTATTAAATACGCAACTTCAGTCAGCTGATAACCAATTTTATTTGTTCTAGTGTTATGAAATTTCTAACTTATTTTTTTTTTTTTTTGTTTAATCGTAGTACATTTTCTATATTTAAAATACACTCACATCTTTGTTGCAAATCTTGAATCTTTTCCTGTCTCCCAAACAAAACCTGCCGCCAAACTGAGGGATCGGGTTATCACAATTTCGTTCAGATATCGACACTCCACCACCACAAGTTCTGGAACATGTACTGTAAGGCCCCCAAGATCCCCATCCACCGTTGATAGCCTCAGGTCTTTCACCAATTTCGATACATTTTTTGTGGAAGCACCACTACAAAAAAATAAATTGCAATTTACGAGGAATAAATATGTAAAATATTATCAAAAAGAGAAGCCATACAGTCTAGAATTTAACACAGGTAGGATTTACCCACATCCCCAACTAGTCATTGATAAAAAATGTACTTGTTGCGAAGGCAAGACCCAAATCAATCCATCTCTTAATCGGAGTGAGAGGACCGATTAAGCTCTTAGATAATAAATGTAAAGCTGGCTTAACCCCTTACCGCATACTAGCCCATATATGGCACAAAGCGTATTTAGTCTATTTATAAATTGTGTGTGTTTATAAACACACTCTGTGACGCACAGATTATTAATTTGATAAACCATCGCATGGGTATAATAGCATGGAGCGATATCTAGTGGATAAATTCGAAAGTTACAATACAATTTTTTAAAGGTGCACAACACCTGATGATCGTTTGAGAAATAAACATTTACATGTTGTGTATTATCGAAATTATCGAAGTTTATTCTTTGAAAAAATATTGTAAGTTGAAAGTGTGACTTTGGTGATAGATTCTTGAGTTTTTTTTATATATTAGATACTAGTTATTGCCAACATTTTCTCTGTGCCATATATGGCACAATACGCTATTATGACATGAATATGACTGAACCAACACATTTTTTTGATTTGGTTTTTAGGTACATGATGGACCTAATATTATTTTATGGTGGATATAAGTCAACCAATGCCTAACTAAAGCAAATAAGTCCCTTACTAAACCAAGAGGTTGACCAAAACTACCAATTGAAGGTGAGCTACAGGTGAAAAAGCATCGTGGTTCAACCACAGATTTCCCAATTCAGGAAGTTATAACCGATAAACTTGACCACTGGGTACATTGGCAAAATCAGAGACAAAGGTGCAAGTACCCTGGATGTATTGGAAAAAATTATACAATTTGCGAAATGTAAAGCTTTTCTTTGTATAAAAAAGACCGAAATTGTTTTTATGCAAGTCTTAATCACATGCTGTTCCATAAATGGCACATACCCTTATTTTATGTCCATATCCTTTTAAAATGTAAATAAATTTTTTTTCTATTTTTCCTAACGTATATATATTATTTCCCGTCTTAAATCTTTTTTTCAAGCAAATAAAAAAAAACATGCGGTAAGGGGTTAACACGGCAACAGCGCGTCATCGCCTTCTGGCCGCATTGAAAACATCCATAGACATAGATATCAGTCGTAAAGGGAAATATTTAATAATTTTTAATTTTCTCAGTAAAACTAAAATTTTAAATTTTATATTCATTTCATTATAAAAAGTTATTGAAAATTACACTTTAAATCGTCATTTAACTAAATACCTGTTTTTAAAATGAGCATAAATTAAATGTAATATTTTTACAGGCTTTAAATATAAATCTATTAAAACTCATTTCACATGTAAAAGTTAATCCCGACGCCCTGTTATGATGTTTTTTGTTTAGGTAGATGACCATGAATAATTTCATGAACATTCATTTCTAGTTTCCAAATTTTGTTTTTGTTTTTAAATATTTACTCTCTAACTCATTGCATATTTTTATTTACTTTCTTTGTACTCAATAAACCATAAGAACAAATTATTGTATTCAGTTTTAGGTAGGTACAATTTGCACTTTTAATAAAAAGGATTATAGAATAGTTAAGAGGATTACCCTGCTTCCTATAGGTACATATTCTTAGAATAATCAAGTATCATTCTCTTGTACATTCATTTACCTGATTTGAGAAAAACCGAAGATGTTAAAATGTTTAACTTTACATTGATATGTGTTTAATAAGACTAGAAAAATATCCAGTGTGTAATCTACTTCAATATTTCGATTTCTGATAGGTTTATAAAAAAGTTTTAATTAACATTGTTACGCAGCACCCTGCAGTAGCCTGCGGCTATTATAGGAAACGTACAGATAGAAAAAGAAGTAGAATATTACTCATCGCCCTACAGTGTGCTGCAGTCGTCATAAGTAAAAGTACAAGTAAAAGAAGATAGAATAGTCCAGAAATGTCTGGAAATGTCATTACCCGTCAAGAATATTCTAGACTACACTTCAAGAAGAATCGAGAAGGGTCAAGCAAGCTATATAAGGATGATCCTGACGTCAGTTTTCAGTTTTATGATAGACGTTACATGTTAACGTTATCAGTTGTATAATTGTTGTTAAAGTTGAGTGGAAATAAATTGCGATAGCAAAAACCTGTGTAAAAATATGTATATACCATCTAATCACGCACATTGAACGCCATGTTTTTTCTTTTTTTTTTTAAATAAAACAGTAGTCCTGAGAATATTTCAGTGCTTGAATCTTTAAATAAATAAAAATAAAAAATAAAATGTCACTTGCCAACACTGTCCCTTTCTTGTAAATTACCTTTTTCGTATTTGTCTATTTGGCCTTCATTCAATTGGATATTGGGACAATGTTATCTTTATTAATTATTTATATTATCTCATTATATATGTTTTTTATATAATATAACCAAATAATAATACAATGCGAATGTGAATCCATGGAAATATAGTAAAGCACGTAAAATTGACGTTCTGCGGATATCTATTTTTTGACGTTTCGAGGATTTACTAAACTGGACATACTTAAAACGTCCATAATTGGTCCTGGAGGTACAGACGTTAAAAAATGGACATGAATTGGACGTCCTTAGGACGTCCTGTGCTATCTGGGTGTTTGATAATAGCTATGCTCTATTTAATTATGATCTATTTAATCAAACTCAGAAAAAGCAGTTTTCACAAAAAGATAGCTGCAATCCACTAAACACAAAGTACTTTTATGAATGAAACAAATTTACAACTTGGTTTAGAAATACGATGAAAAGTAAATGCGCCTTTGCCAAACATCATAAAATTTCTTCCAATGATTTAAATTCAAAAAGTATTGCAACATAATGCATTTACATTACAACTGTTAAAAAACACCGTAAACTTGGCATCAGTATTCAATAAGAATATTGTGTTTCTGCGGCGGATGCCAACGTTAAGACTTTTTGTGAATAATCCTATCTGTCTTGGTTATATACCTATGGATTTACCACACGACCACTTTTGAGTTTTATTTAATGGTGCTAGCTAGCACTGGGAAATAGTAACAAAGCCTACACAGAACACATGCTAATAAAGAAAAATAGAAACAGACTGGCTAATTGAATAGTGACAACCAAAGTCAACACTAAATAAAATAACTCAATATATTTTTTACTACTACCATTACTAATAAATATATTTTTAATTTTAAATGAAATAATCGGTATTTCTTCATTTAACCATACGTGTATGATGCAGCGACTTTTTTCTTGGCTTAATTTTTTAATCCAATTATTTGTGTCTTACTAAAAAAACTAATCCTACTCACTAAAAGGACATCCAACCTATTAGTATACTGCCAATCTTGTTCAAAGTTCTAGAAAGACAGCTTTAAGAATATATTGAATCTTAATTAGTACTAGCAAGTACCCAGTCAGGTTTTTGCAAGGGTTATAGTTGTACAACTGCTCTTCTCCACGTAGCAGCTGATATCACAAAAGCCCAAAATTCAGGTAAATGCACTATTTAAACATTGGCATTTCATGCCACAGCATTTATTAAATCATATATAAATTGGCGTGCGTAACTATTTGAAATTGATTGCATTAAGTTATGTTCTGTAATTATTCGCTCTGATGTTATGCAGGGTTTTATTTTGAGGCCATTGCTATTTTTAACAGCCTGCAGGTTAATGCTGAGGAGTGTCTACAGACAGCTACTTTTTTCACCTAGTCAAAGTCATGCATGTTAACTCATTAAAAACCTGCTGGTTGTCGCTGGGGGTGTCTAGGGATAGCCAGCCTCTTAGGTCTCTAGAAGTCCCATTTTTGCGAAGTGGCCATTTGGTGGGTTTCTACCACCCCAATTATAAATTCCCGAATGAAGCCATTCTATTCTATGAATTTCACTAAAAAATCGCATTACCACCAAAGAGCTTTTAACCCACTCTTTAATTTTTATTTTTAGTTTTTAAATAAGTTATCTTTGAAATGATATTCCAAGTCACTTCAAAAAACTCAATGTCACGCAGTTTAAAACTAATTTCATGGAATATATTTTGGATCGGTAATCAAATATACAGTAAGCATTATAAGTCTTACTTCCCTACCTAACTCGTTACTGGAGGCTTGAAAGAAAAATCGCCGAAACACGTCGATTTTTGATTTGTACAGTGTAAATTTTTGTATGAATAGTTTACCCTTAATTTCATCCCTTACTGGAGGGGAGCAACCATTTCGAAAAATTTAAATAGCATGGGGTGGTGAGTGATAGCTTATTTGAAAGGGAGTTTTATTCTCTATTCAACTGTGCAAAAAATTATTGTTTCAAAATAACGGAAATTACCGTAGCGCACTCATCCTTACAGCCGTATGCATAGTCGATCGCCAGCGACTCGCCAGAGATTCATTCCGGCGTTTCGCCAGCAATTCGCTGGCGATCCGCCGGCGAAAGCCCAAAAAGGTGGCGTCTCGCCGGAGATTGTCACCGAAATGTCATTTCACGCAAGTTTTAATTTTTGTTTTTAGGGATTATCAACGGGATCTCTCGCATTTTATTCATGATTCATTTCTTAAAACTCAAAAAATAATGAACGAATATCAAATTTTTCCCTATAAAAGAACATAAAAACTTGCGTGAAATGACATTCCGGTGACAATCTCCGGCGAGTCGTCAGCTTTTTGGGCTTTCGCCGGCGGATCGCCAGCGAATCGCTGGCGAGTCGCTGGCGGTCGACTATGCATACGGCTGTTAGAATTAAAATTCGGCCCTGCATATCGGTTTTGGTTCAGACGTAAAGTAAGACTTTTTGCCATTATGCTTGGATATTAACTGCACGTTTTTATTGATGTTTTTGCATTGTTTTTGTTATTTTTAAACATTAATATATCAACACATAATGAAGCAAATTTTAAAATTTTTTGCACGGTTGAATAGAGAATAAAACACCCTTTCAAATGAGCTATCATTCACCACCCCATGCCATTTAAATTGAATCGGTGAGTGAAAGAACAGTACAAGTGCCAAAAGCGGTAATTTTAACTGAGATAGGTAAATTGTTTAAAATTCATAGGCCTATCACATAGCGAAAGAATAATACACATACCAACATCATACGAGCGATGGGGGCTTGTTTAATTTTCGGTTGAGTGAAAGAACAGTACAAGTACGGCGCATGTACTGTTTTTTCACTCAGTATAGCCATGTCGTTTCGTAGACAAATTTAACACAGATTTCAAAAACTGGTGGTCGCACTTTCATAAAAAACCTCTAAATCAGCTGATGAACAAAAAGCTAATTTTGTCATTCCACAGTACAGCCAGTTTACATACACTGGTAAAACTTCTGGATATGTTACTACAAGTGCCTTCATAGGCGGTTTTCTCTCGCACACTTTTATGTGTGGGGCGCATTAGACTGATATCAAACCTAATGCCAATCTGCAGTTACCCTTATGGCGAGCATACACGCTACGGTCTGTATGTGCAGGTGTGCCTGCACAGGTACACTACATGCAAGCTACGACATAAAGCCGACCTGAGCAGGCATATCTGCACAGGTAGGCTTCTCCGGTAGACCGTTACGTGTATGCTCGCCATTAGAAAAGGCATACTCAGAAGTTGTCCCTATTAACGTAAAGAAGATAGCCAATATAAAGATACTTTTATTCTACTTTAGTGATGAAATCCTAGAGTTTTACTACTATATATTATTTCTTGGAAAGTCAAAAATGAAGATTCTGATTAAAAAATTACAAATAAGTTTGTTAAATAATAATCAATAAAGCTACAAAAAAAATTTAAGGCATTTTTTTTAAATTGAGTGAAAGAACAGTATAACTGCAAGTAATTTTTTTCAAATATCATATTTTGCATAATTTTATTTTTAAATTTATGTACATATTATTATCGGTTAACAAAAATTCTATAACTTCACAATACATAATTAGGCCGAATAACCAATAGTTCTCCTTTAAAATAGTTTTTTTTGTTTTTCTCAAAATGGTCATTTTGGATATGTATTATTCTTTCACTCACCGATTCAATTTTTCGAAAGGGTTGCTCCCCTCCAGTAAGGGAAGAAATTAAGGGTAAACTATTCATACAAAAATGTACATCTTAGAAATCAAAAATCAACGAGTCTTGGCGATTTTCGTAACAAGACTCCAATAACGAGTTAGATAGGGGGGGGTGACTATAGCTACTTTAATAATGCCTTCTGTTTGTTTTGTTTTGGCGATTTTATTTAAGGTTACGTGTAAAAGTAGTCCATCGCCGATATTGTGTCAGCGAATGAACTGAGCTGCGCCTTTTAATTTCGGTATTCTCAACTATGCATAATATATGTTTTTTCTATACTCACATGGATATTTAATTATCTACGCACAGACTACAAAACGAAAACGTTTACTATTGCCATTATCTAAACGAATATATTTTATATCCATTCTAGGTAGTGAGAATACTGCAAAATAATGAAATTAACCAATCACAGTTCATATTTTGCTCACCCGACGACTATTATTTTTAAAATTTTAAATAAGTGACAATTCTGTAAAACTGTCAGTATATTTTTTAGTTAATAAACACCTAATTATACATTAAAATTACTTATTTTTGTGTAGAATTGATAGATTATAATATTTCTATTTTTATTTACACTATAATTATAAATAATTTGGTTATTTTAATAAAACTCTATGAAGTCAATTCAATTGCGAGTATTAAAAAAGTTTCTCAAATATGTCGGTGGATAAGTGGTGAGAGTATCTGCCTTCCACGCGAGAAACCCAAGTTCGAGCCTCGGCTGGGGACTTTTAAGTTAAATCTTTTTTTTTGTTTATTTTATTTTATAAATTATTTTAAATTTAGTTATTTTGTCTTAATAACCTGAAATATTTTTTTAATTTATAAATTTCGTAGAAAAAATATACTGTGCAACTCAAGTGAGCCTTGTGATCAAATTTTGTCTTCACGAGATATGGCCATCATATCTACTCTTGTTGCACAAACTAGATTGTTAAATTATCTGAAATGATTAATAAAGAATGAGTCCTACCTTGTTTGAACCGCACTTGGTGCCATCGGCTGGTGGTTCTCGATTTGATGTACACTCAGTAGGCGTAGTTTTGCAAAGTAACATCTCGCAGAATTTTGATTCGTCCATCATGCAAACAGACGAACCCGGGAACATCAAATCGCACTGTTGCTCTGGATCGTATATTGTGCCAGGAAGAGCAGCCTTGTAGGCGTATATGGAGACTTCTGGTTCGTCGTTTAAACAGTCGCCCATGTTGTTTCTGTTTAAAAAACATATGCAATTTCTATGCCTCAATAATAACAAATTACAAAGTCTTTACAAATCTTATACATTACTTTAACCCTTGAATCCTTCGAAATAAAGATGAGATGATTAGGAATTTTATTTGCACCAGGATAAAATAAAGAGAGACTATCAATAATCGGCTGACTGCCTGTTATGATTGGAGAGATGGATACACCTTTACCACTAGTGGGCTGGCGCGCACTGTTTTATGTCTGTCTAATCAATAGTATTACTTATTTTTACAGTTCTTGTGGCGTCATTGAGGGAAAGTAATATACTGTATACAACGACAACTATCAGTTTGCAGCTAGTTGCAAATAAGAAAAATGGTATTCCAAAAACATATTTTTAGATTTTGCGGGTAATATCAAAACCTAACATCTAAAAGTAAGAATTTGTTTTATTAAATTTTTATAAGTTCGTTGGTCATCTGATTTTTAAACGTTAACTAAAAAAATGCAGATAACAAATGTTTATAAAAAATGTTGATAAACAAAAAATGTTTACAAAAGAATGTTTATAAAGAAATTATGGAAAATAAGAAATTATTGCCATTTTTCTGTTGACATCTCCCTTTGGTAAATTTAATCTCAAATATCAATTTGTTTTCTAAGTTTTTATAAGAAAAATTTAGTTTTATGATCTAGTTTTACGCCCTAGTTTTACAACCTATTTTACAACCTTGCTTCACAACTTAGTAATTCTACCTACTTTTACAATCCAGAATCCAATTTTTCCTAATTATACAAGTACAACAAACATATAGAAAGAAAATAATGTCAATGAAAAAATGTTTACGAAAAACAGTTAACGGAAAAATATCGAAAAAAAAATGATAAAAAAAAAGAATTAAAATATTAGCCATTATTGCCATTTTTCTGTTGAAATCTCTTTCTTGAAAATTTAATCTCAAAAATCAATTTTTTTTCTAAAATTTCTAGTTGTCGAGAAAATGTTGACTTGATATTAACGAATAAGTACATACAAAAATTACGTTTTAAGGGAGTCATTGAAGTTTAATATCCAAAGTTCGAAGACTAACAAAATATATTTTTTTTGTTCGATTTAATGACATAGGAATCCTATATGGCATCCATAAGAAAAGCAGAACTAAAGATTGAAAAATAAAATTTTTACCTAACCTTACGTTTGTTGAAAAAGTTTTTATGGCTTGCATGGTATCATTGAATTAGGAATTTTTTGGAATAAAAATCAAATATGACAACCAAAAGAAATAACAAAGTTGGCTATGTTTGGTCAAAATCTAGAAGGCGTGGAAATTTTTTGATGACCCTAGTCGGTTGGGCGTAGCTCATAATAGAAAAGTTTGGATTTTCGGTAATTATGCTCAAACGATGTAGACAATATCACAAGTTTTCCAAAATACCAATTTTTAGTTTTTACTCGATATTTTGGAAACCCCTGTAGATATTGCAGATTTTAAAGCAGATTCTTAATGGGCATGAAATAGTGCAAATTTAACCAACACAGTATCTCTTACCGTTTAGGATATTCCAATGGTATAGTAAAATATATGCAAAGAAATCTTGTCGAATGTACCAATTCAAGAAGGCTAATAAACAACGAGTTCTAGTTTTAACACATGAGTGATACATTCTTAGAACGGAAGACTGTGTAATTATTGCGCTCTGTAGAATTTATTCTAGACAGATTGCTGACTGTCACTGAGTTATACTATTATAATAAAAGTTAGTCTTACCTCTAGAGATACAACTATAATGGTTTGTAGCTCAAGGTAAACTTAAATTTCAAAAAGCACATTATGTGTCCTGCAGGAGCAAAAGTGTCAGCAGTATGTATGTACCTAGTCTTACCATTATCATGAACGAATAAATATGACAAGGTGGGAAAAAAGTCACTTTCATTTCTCATTGGTTCGGTTGACCTCATTTTAATAGTTACTTTTAAATTGACATGTGCTATTTGAAGCAACAATTAGAATAGCTGCCAGTTTTCGACTAACAACAAGAAATACTTACTCGAAAAGTGAAGTGATGAAACCTCTGCTACAACTAGACCATTTTGTTGTATACATATGCACAAATGGGGCCATCACAAAATAAGATTCATCCTTATCTTTAGCCGCGCATGGTGATTCGCCTTCCTTGTCATGCGCACAACCCATTCTAAAAAAATACATTATAAGTTGGTAATAAAGATGAATATATTTTTTATAGCTCTTGTAATGTATTCAACCGAAAGGGCCTTGTATATCAACCCAAACATTACCCCCTCTTCCGCTATCGGTTTGAATTGGCAGGTGTACGCCAACGACCCAATGACCCAGTTTCGATTTACCACACATATCGAGAAGGTCATGCATTACTATTGTAATTGAGGTTATGTTGTGAAGTTCGGCTTCCGGCATTTACAATAAATGCAAGTAATTATTGGAGTTAAACGAAGTTTTATTTCGATGCCTAGTAGATAGGGACGAACATCACACTTGACGACGAGGATGGGATTCGAACCCACGCGGGCATAGCCCTAGTAGCCTAGTAGATAGGGACGAACATCACAGCTCTGATGATACATTTTTAAGTATAATTCCAATATTTTATTTTAATTAAACTTATGTTAAAAAACATTTTCAACTTGTAACGTCAAACTAGTTATATCAGCTAAGAAAATGATGCTCTCAGTTACTTGGAATGATGAATGGGAAATATTGGTTCACCATCTAAAGAAGGGAGCTACTATTGTAGCTCCTTCGTGTAATTATCGAAACATTGCAATAATTTAGAATTGGTTCTACTAATGGTTAAATAAAAAAGGGACATACGTACACATGACCCATCTCATGGGCAACCACAATCCCCAAAGTCAATCCTCCGTCCTCATTGATGGCACAGTTTTTGTTCTGGGTGCAGGCCGTCGCGATATATGCAAGGCCCATTAAACCACAATCAGCGCCCTCATCTGCACAAATATCGTACCTAGAATAAAAAATATATAATATTTAATTTCTATAATTTTTTAAGGTTTTTAAACGAGAAAATTGTTAAAAAATCAAGTTTCATATAAAATTGTCACGCTTCATATAAATTCATTTTTCCAAATTTAACACTTAATAATTAATTAATTATTCGACTATGACTATGTACCTTTAATTTCGTCGCGAATTTGTTTTAAATGGCAATGCTGTACAAGATTTATTATTTTATAATTAATAAACATTAGTCTAATAACAATAAACTATGGAAAAGTTAAAAAGTATTTGCGCGGGTTCTGTCCACCTGGCAGAATTCTCTGTGTAGGAGACCCTCCTGGTAGTGATTTCGAATCGCGGAGGCTCTAAATCTGAATCTTGAAAGGTTAAAAGTCGGTTTTTAATTTGAATCGCGGTTTGAATATTTAGTTATGGTTGACCCAAATATCAATTCCAATATTGGAGTTGGTAAGTTTATTATATTTTGTATATTTGTGTATATCGGATTGTAACTTATTTTATATAAAAGTATACGTCATAGTTATTTTTATGTTTGTCAAACTGAGATTTATCCATACTAGGGTGGTTGTTACACAGCTGGAATGGAGAACTTTCAGAAGATATCAGATAGTTAAAAGGGGATGTCTATGAGATTTTGATTATGTCAGGGGCAAAAGTTAAAAATTAAACAATAAAAGTAAATTATTAAAAAAAGGTTGACGTTAAATGTAATTAAGTATAAAAAAGAATAGGGACGAGTGTAATTTAAAAAGTGTTAAAAGGGAGTTGGAGATTTAAAGATACAAAAAGAAGTATTTATTGAAAGTAACAAAGGAAGCAGAGGTGTAACACTAAAAAACAAATATGTAAGAGAATAATTTTTTTTAAATATTTTGTTAAATTTTAATATTGAATTCATTGTTTATTCACTTTTCGGAAAATGAACACAATTCTTGTAAAATTAATGATACCATATTTATATTTGTTTAGATAAAAACTGTGTTTCCTTCAGTCTTTTTACAATGGCGCATTAAGTTCCGATACCAAGAGTAGAACACTCAATTGAGAGCTGCGAAACCACGTTGAAAACAATATAGTGATTAGACGATTAAGGTCCGGAGGATTTATTCTATTTATTATTTAACCCCTTGGGACATAGCTTGTCTCATTGTTATTATGGAACCCAGATTTGTGACAGTTTACAGAGATTGTGACTTATTCACAGTATTATTCGAGAGCACGTTATATGTGACACAATCGTTCGAGGCAATATAATAGTTAGTTGTATAATTTTTAAGTCTCTCAGTAGAATAAAATCCTGTTGTTAAATCAGAAAAAGTAAAATTAAAAAAAAATGCCTTCAAAAAAGCTCTGATAAAGATGTTTCATTTATCTATACATTTTTATTTTTTTTTTATTTTAGTTAATGTAAAAAATTAATTTTTAAATTGATCATTAGTGCGTAACTCTTGCTAGATTTTCAATTTGTGTTATTCACATACACAAGTTTCAAATAAAAGTTACTTGGATTTAAAATAGATATATTTTATTGTCTGACAAATTAAAATGTATATTTTATAAATAGAACACCCTGTATTTTATTTCAATTTTAGAATGGTCTGGTAATACTACAGGGTTGTTAAGCAATTATTTTTTTTTGTGAAAATAAAATACAGACTTATAGGATATAAAACTAACGAATATTGGTGATAGAACTAGTTTATGTTACACATGTCTTGAATATGGCTAATTTTAAGTTCAATTTACTCAATTTTTTCAACTAGGTGTATATTATTTTAGCATTCCTTATAAATTTATCTATTTAATGATAGCAACAGGTTAGCCAATTATATATCAGTGCGTAATTGATCGAAAAATGTTTTATTATTCGAAATTCGAAGAAATTTTTTGTATAAAAGTTGTATGAGCATATTTAAAAATGATTCTTAAATATAAAGGGTGGTTCATAAACGAGAGGCTAACCAAACTTTTTAAATCAGAACACTCTCTAGGTAGTTACACATATTTCATTGTTTTCACATCGTCTAAGTTATACCACTGTAGTGCCTTGGAAGCACTACATATTAACTCTAACTCATAATATATTGATATAAATGTCACACAAACGCCACATATATATCAATCTTACCTTTAGAGGCAGCTTAGTGGGGGGCAAGATTTAAGGGCACCCAGCTAATATTTATGTACACAAAAATGTCATTATATATTTTTCTGTCATGATGGAATTACGTATTTTATTATATTCATATACACCCTCTTACAAACCGCTATTTTATTTACAAGATGGGATCCCCAAAGTTAAAAGATCCCACATATTTATAAGATGGGATCCCCAACGTTAAAAGATTCCACAACCACCAAAACACATTTTTATGACATCGGAAGAACAGAAAGACATTCATTATTCTTGAACAATTGGTTAACAAACATTATTGACGTTTGTTCTTTTTTTTTTTAATTGTCATAAAATTTTACCTGTAACTAGATGTTTTAAACTCTGTAACCTAAAGCTACGGTCGATAATAAGAACACAAAATATTTTAATTTTCAGAAGAATTAGGTTGAAAATATGATTGTTTTATTTAAAGAAATATTCCTACCTATTTGTAGTTTTATAACTGACCAAGGTTTCTAAAGCCAATTATAATTAGAAAAACGTTAATTATATAATAAAACCATCAAAAAATGCGTTTTGGTATAAACAATGCCAAACAAAACAAAAAATAAAGAAATAACATACCTACAGGATATTGCATTTGAAAAAATTTAAAATATCGTATTTTCTCATTTAAGCATACCCTGTATTCATACTAACAAATTAATAAATATAGAAAATATTTTAGAAATTTTAAAATTGTTTAATGATGCGAAAACAACTAAATCTGTTTTCCAGATTGTTTGGTCTAAAAAAGTATAGGTTTGGTTTGCCCCTTATTTATGGACTACCCTGTATAAGGGAATTTGCAAAATATTGTCCTACAACAATAATTTCTACGTATCTCCAGTAATAAACCACCTATAGATTACATACGTAGTGACGGGACACCCTGTATATGTATATTGGACTAACCTTCTGCTATTGTTGGATAGGTAAATTTATAAGGAAATTTTATGTTACAATAATATGCAGGATGTTCTATTTGAGAAAATTGAACTTAGAATTAGCTATATTTTAGACATGTTTCAAGACACTTTGTATAAAATAAACCAGTTCTGTAACCACTATTCTATCTCTTATAAGTCTATATTTAAAACAATTTTAAAATTATCGCTAATTTACCTAAATTATGATAATTTAATTTAGGATCTGCATTATTTTGAAATTTGACAAAATAATTAATTGCTTGGCAACCCTGTAATATTTTAGCGTTAAATACAGCAGTCCATTTAAAAAATATACATTTTTATTTGTCAAGCAAAAGCGTAACATCTTGAACATTTAAAAATATTTTCAAATTATGACTTTTTAAAATCCATAAACATCTTATTTGAAACTTGTTTGTGTGTCTGTAACACAAATTTATTTACCGAGCAATTATGAACTAATGGGATACCCTGTATATACCAATTTTTTGCGCAAAAAATTCGGATGGACTTATTTAACTAGAATTTAAAAAGAAATCTTGAATTTTTTGGTTAAAGACAGTAGATAGGGGTCAAAAGATCATATACTTTTCATCCAAGTACCCCTCCTCACTTCGCCTCAAGTTACCCTTACGTCAAAATTTTCACCCTGTTGTAAGTATTCATATAATTAAAATTATGTGCGAATAAAAATAGTAAAATAATAGTTAAATATTAAAACTTTATAAAAACCAATTTTAATAAACATACTGGCTTACCGACCGCCGGCGGTGCTTGCAATTGTTGGAAAGAAAACCGTCTTCCGGCGGCATGGTCTTCTTTATACAGGAATGCCGCCGCAAATCTAAACTGATTTGTTGATCAGGGCGGCATGCTATCAGTGAATTGAAAAATACCGCCGGACGACGGTCTACTGTATTTAAAACATTGAATGCCGGTGGTAAGAAAAAATACTTGTAAAATCGTTTACATTTTTGTGGAAAATGATCATATGTCGTTCGCGTTTTATTTGTACATCGGCCTCCTTTTACAAAGTAGATGAGCTGTGCCCAGGCCGTTGGTGTTTATGTCGGTCGGCGTAGCCAGGTATGGATTGAAATTTTATGATGACGGCGAAGCCTTCCTACCTACGAGAAGTCGTTACTTCGTCTCCTTGTTGTCACGGCATTATTATTATTATTTGTTCATATATGTGAAATTTGCTTCTAAGGTTTATAAATTACTACTGCTAGTTACGGCGTAAATGAAAACAAACAAGACGCATTCACACAAACGCCTCCCATTACAGCAATTGCAAATGATTAGTGTTGTCCCCGATACGCGAGTTTTTTCCGGCGGCATTTAATGTTTCAAATACAGTAGACCGTCGTCCGGTGGCCTTATCAATACTCTGATAGCCTGCCGGCCTCTTAAACAAATAAGTTTAGATTTTCAGCGGCATTCTTATACAGTATGGTTCAATTGAAAGGAATAAATTCATTATAATGGAAGTAGGTGGTTTTTCAAAAAAATGCTCGGACAGGTCAATTTTATTTACTAAAAGCGCAATTTTTGAAATAGAATTTAATTTTCCCCCACTTCCCATTTTTGGGCAGTGACGTCATTGAAATTTTTTTTAAATAGTAACCCCAATTTTTTTTTCTTGATTTTGATAGATCTTGCAATTTCCTACTCGGAAACATAATATTTGAAATATCTGACATAACAATTTTTTTTGAATAAAATCATTTAAAGATCAGGTACATAAATGTTATTTTATTTTGAAACACAATAAATGAATAAAAGATTATTTGTAATTAAGTGCTTCATCTAAAAAAATAATAATAATAAAAAGAATTTAATGACAATTTCACAATTTTTTTTTATTATTATTATTATTATTATTATTATTATTAATTATTG